ATAATAATAAACACCCTAACAAGAAATATATTATCATCATTATTATTATTAATATTTTTAATACACCCTAAATAAATAAAAAGAAGACAATAAAATATAAACCCCCAACCCAAACCCTAACCCTAAACTGAACCCCTAACCCTAACACCTAACCTCTAACCCTAAACTTAACCCCTAACCCTAACCCTAAAACTTAACCCCTAACCCTAAACTTAACCCCTAACCCTAAACGTAACCCCTAACACCTAACCCCTAACCCTAAACTTAACCCCTAACCCTAAACGTAACCCCTAACACTTAACCCCCAACCATAAACTTAACCCCTAACCCTAAACTTAACCCCTATTCCTAAACTTAACCCCTAACCCTAAACTTAACCCCTAACCTAAACGTAACCCCGAATCCTAAACTTAACCCCTAAACCTAAACGTAACCCCGAATCCTAAACTTAACCCCTAACCCTAAATGTAACCCCGAATCCTAAACTTAACCCCTAACCCTAAACGTAACCCCGAATCCTAAACTTAACACCTAACCCTAAACTTAACCCCTAACCCTAAACGTAACCCCGAATCCTAAACTTAACACCTAACCCTAAACTTAACCCCTAACCCTAAACTTAACCCCTAACCCTAAACGTAACCCCTAACCCTAAACATAACACCTAACCCCTAACCCTAAACGTAACCCCTAACCCTAAACTTAACCCCTATTCCTAAACTTAACCCCTAACCCTAAACTTAACCCCTAAACCTAAACGTAACCCCGAATCCTAAACTTAACCCCCTAAACCTAAACGTAACCCCGAATCCTAAACTTAACCCTAAACCTAAACGTAACCCCGAATCCTAAACTTAACCCCTAACCCTAAATGTAACTCCGAATCCTAAACTTAACCCCTAACCCTAAACGTAACCCCGAATCCTAAACTTAACACCTAACCCTAAACTTAACCCCTAACCCTAAACGTAACCCCGAATCCTAAACTTAACACCTAACCCTAAACTTAACCCCTAACCCTAAACTTAACCCCTAACCCTAAACGTAACCCCTAACCCTAAACATAACACCTAACCCTAAACCCTAAACGTAACCCCTAACCCTAAACTTAACCCCTAACCCTAACACCTAACCCCTAACCCTAAACTTAACCCCTAACCCTAAACCCCTAACCCTAAACGTAACACTTAACCCCTAACCCTAAACGTAACCCCTAACACCTAACCCTAAACGTAACCCCTAACACCTAACCCTAACCCTAAACCTAACCCCTAACCCTAACCCCTAACCCTAAACGTAACCCCTAACACCTAACCCTAAACGTAACCCCTAACACCTAACCCCTAACGCTACACTTAACCCCTAACCCTAAACTTAACAGCTAACCCCTAAACATAACCCCTAACACCTAAACCCTAACCCTAAACTTAACCCCTAACCCTAAACTTAACCCCTAACACCTAACTCCTAACCCTAACTTAACCTCTAACACCTAACCCCTAACCTTAACCCTAAACACCTAACCCTAAACTTAACCCCTAACCCTAAACGTAACCCCTAACCCTAAACTTAACACCTAACCCTAAATGTAACCCCTAACCCCTAACCCCAAACTTAACACCTAACCCCTAACCCTAAATGTAACCCCAACCCTAACCCCAAACTTAACGCCTAACCCCTAACCCTAAATATAACCCTAACACCTAACCCCTAACCCTAAATGTAACCCCTAACACCTAACCCCTAACCCTAAATGTAACCCCTAACACCTAACCCCTAACCCTAAACTTAACCCCTAACCCTAACACCTAACCCCTAACCCTAAACTTAACCCCTAACCCTAACACCTAACCCTAAACTTAACCTGTAACCCTAAAACGTAACCCCTAACACCTAACCACTAACCCTAAACTTAACCCCTAACCTTAACCCCTAACCCTAATTCTAACTCTAAACCCCAACCCCTAATCCTAACCTTTTACCCTAACAAAAATAATAATAATAATAAATAAATAAAAGCTAATGGAAAAGCTACAGAAGCTGAAATACCTAGCAACAAATGATGAAACGGATGATATTTTTCTCTGTTGGCCATTAAAAAGATGCAAAACTTTGTAAAAAAAAATGTGGATACAAACACGTGACAAAATGCCCCCTTTCCCCCCCCAAAAAAAGACATTAAAAACTTGATGCTCAGCTGTGAATGAGCTTGATGATGCTGGATGTCCTCCACCCAGGAAATGAGGCAGGCTCTGTCTGACTTGCTGCAGCTTCTAGTGCACATTGGGTGAAGCTCACAGTGTGCAGTGAAATCAGAAATACAATCTAGAAAATGGAAAAACACTCAGCAGTTTCTCCAGAACAAAGACTGTTACTTTATGCTGTTTTTATCGTTTGCATGGATGAGATGATCTTTTGTTAACCATTTCAATACCGGGCAATTTTACACCTTCCTGCCCAGGCCATTTTTCAGGTTTCAGCGCTTTCACACTATGAATGACAATTGCGCGGTCATACAACATTGTACCCAAACTAAAATTTTATCTTTTCTTCACACAACTAGAGCTTTCTTTTGGTGGTATTTAATCACCGCCGGGTTTTTTATTTTTTGCTAAATTAACAAAAAAGCATGAAAATTTTGAAAAAAAAAACACGTTTTTCTTTGTTTCTGTTATAAAAGTTTGCAAATAAATAATTGTTCTTCATAAATTTAGGCCGAGATGTATTCTGCTACATGTCTTTGGTGAAAATAACCCAAATTAGGATGTATTATTTAGTCTGTAGGAAAGTTATAGAGTTCACAAACTATGGTATAGATCTGAATATTGATCAATCCTGAAGTACTGACAGCCAATCTAATTTCTTGAGGTCCAAGAATGTCAGAACAGTACAGATATCCCCCAAATGACCCTTTTTGCAGAGTAGACAGTCCGACGTACTTCATAAGAGGAATGGCGAGTTTTTTGAAGTTATATTTTTTTTGTCATAATTTTTTTGAAAATGAAAAAATAAAAAAAATTATTTTCACTATTTTTTGTTTACATACTGTCACCAGTGCAGTACAGCGTCATCATATAACTGGCATGGCGGTGAACAGGGACACTGACTGGTGACAGTGTGAAAAAAAAAATATATATATTTTTTTTTTTTTTTTTTTTTTATTTTTAATTTTTTATTAAATTTTTTTTCTTTTTTTAAGATTTTTTTCATATTTTACTATGTCCAAAGTAGTACAATGTTACCATAGTAACATTGTACTACTTTGGGGAAGTGATCAGTATTTTTTTTTTTTTTTTTTTTTTTTTACACAATTTGCTTATAGCAAAGAATTACTTTGCTATAAGCAAGCATTTACCTGAATGACATCGATTCATTCAGGTTTTTTTTTTTTTTTGTGGTTAGCTGTGATTTGGCCACAGCTAATCACATGACATGTGCATGTGATTAGCTGTGACCATTCACAGCTAGACACTAGTATACAATGGATGGCATGAATGAAGCCATCCATTGTATACAACTGTCATGTGACCTGCTGTGATTGGTCACAGCAGGTCACATGGTACCGGCAACGGGGTCCGGTACTCAGATCTGTCATCGGCCATGTCCGAGGTACACGGCCGGTGACAGATCGCGCCGCTGCGCGGCTCTGCAAGCGCGCGAACTGCGCATGTGCGGAAGGACGCCATATGGCGGCCTCCTGGAAAGGTAATGCATTTTTGCGGATGCCATTTGGCCATAGGCGGGGCGTCAAATGGTTAACGAAACAGGAATGACTGCAATGATTATTTGTGTTCTACAGGTGGCATTTGGTGTTAATGCAATTCCCTTTATAAGCACACAACTACGTATAGTAGCAGGTAAGAAAATTGTGTAGAATCTTTATTACACTTTAAAAACATGCCAATGTAAAATAAACACACCGTGTAGCAATTTACTTTGTATGTATTTATGTATGTACTGTATTATGCCTGTTGTAAAATGTTGTTAAAGGATATCTAAACCCTGGTCTGTTTCAGCTGCAGCTTTATGCATTGACATACCTCCTTAAACCCAGTCACTTGCTGACTTTGCACCATCCACAGGCAGCTTAACTCTTCAATAAGACACAGCTATTGAATCAAGTGCAGTTTTACTTTAGCTAATAGCAGTACAGAGGATGTTTTTCCAGACGTTTGCATTGTAAGAAGATAATGGGGTTGATTTACTAAAACTGGTGCAGTTGTGGATGGTAGCCAATCCGCTTTTAACTTCAGCTTGTTCAACTAAGCTTTGACAGTGAAACCTGGAAGCTGATTGCAGAATTGCACCAATTTTGGCAAATAACCCCCCCGATGACTTTCCCGAGCTGTATCTCTGTGAATAACTCACTCCATAATGTTTCAAAGGGTGCTTTTGTATTTTTAATAGCACCTACCTTTATATTTATGGATTTGATGTTATTTTATTGATGTCATATTGGTCTCTATTGGAAAGGATGAGAGAATGATCCTGAGCAATTTTTCACAAAAAAAAATTAAATTCTGGATATAGAAATTTTGCTTAAAGTGTTACTAAACCCAGGTCCCTGCGTTCACTATATCCGGTCTCCCCGGACCCTGCGTTCACTATATCCGGTCTCCCCGGACCCTGCATTCACTATATCCGCTCTCCCCGGACCCTGCGTTCACTATATCCGGTCTCCCCGGACCCCGCATTCACTATATCTGCTCTCCCCGGACCCCGCATTCACTATATCCGGTCTCCCCGGACTCTGCATTCACTATATCCGCTCTCCCCAGACCCTGCATTCACTATATCCGGTCTCCCCGGACCCTGCATTCACTATATCCGCTCTCCCCGGACCCTGCATTCACTATATCCGGTCTCCCCGGACCCTGCATTCACTATATCCGGTCTCCCCGGATCCGGCATTCACTATATCCGCTCTCCCCGGATCCGGCATTCACTATATCCGCTCTCTCCGGGACCCGGCATTCACTGTATCCGCTCTCCCCGGACCCTGCATTCACTATATCCGCTCTCCCCGGACCCTGCATTCACTATATCCGCTCTCCCCGGACCCTGCATTCACTATATCCGGTCTCCCCGGACCCTGCATTCACTATATCCGGTCTCCCCGGACCCTGCATTCACTATATACGGTCTCCCCGGACCCCGCATTCACTATATCCGCTCTCCCCGGACCCCGCATTCACTATATCCGGTCTCCCCGGACCCTGCATTCACTATATCCGGTCTCCCCGGACTCTGCATTCACTATATCCGCTCTCCCCGGACCCCGCATTCACTATATCCGGTCTCCCCGGACCTCTGCATTCACTATATCCGCTCTCCCCAGGACCCTGCATTCACTATATCTGGTCTCCCCAGACCCTGCATTCACTAAATCCGGTCTCCCCGGACCCTGCATTCACTATATCCGCTCTCCCCGGACCCTGCCCACTACTATATGCGCTCTCCCCCGGACCCTGCATTCATTATATGCGCTCTCCCCGGACCCTGCAGTCACTATATCCGCTCTCCCCGGACCCTGCATTCACTATATCCGTTCTCCCGGGATCCGGCATTCACCCCGGTCTCCCCGGACCCGGCATTCACTATATCCGCTCTCCCGGGACCCGGCAATCACTGTATCCGCTCTCCCCGGACCCTGCATTCACTATATCCGCTCTCCCCGGACCCTGCATTCACTATATCCGCTCTCCCGGACCCTGCATTCACTATATCCGGTCTCCCCAGACCCTGCATTCACTAAATCCGGTCTCCCCGGACCCTGCATTCACTATATCCGCTCTCCCCGGACCCTGCATTCACTATATGCGCTCTCCCCGGACCCTGCATTCATTATATGCGCTCTCCCCGGACCCTGCATTTTTATTATATGCGCTCTCCCCGGACCCTGCATTCACTATATCCGGTCTCCCGGGATCCGGCATTCACTATATCCGGTCTCCCCGGACCCGGCATTCACTATATCCGCTCTCCCGGGGACCCGGCATTCACTGTATCCGCTCTCTCCCCAGACCCTGCATTCACTATATCCGCTCTCCCCGGACCCTGCATTCACTATATCCGCTCTCCCCGGACCCTGCATTCACTATATCCGGTCTCCCCGGACCCTGCATTCACTATATCCGGTCTCCCCGGACCCGGCATTCACTATATCCGGTCTCCCCGGACCCTGCATTCACTATATCCGCTCTCCCCGGACCCTGCGTTCACTATATCCGCTCTCCCCGGACCCGGCATTCACTATATCCGGTCTCCCCGGACCCTGCATTCACTATATCCGCTCTCCCAGGTCCCTGCGTTCACTATATCCGGTCTCCCTGAACCCTGCGTTCACTATATCCGGTCTCCCCGGACCCTGCATTCACTATATCCGCTCTCCCCGGACCCTGCGTTCACTATATCCGGTCTCCCCGGACCCCGCATTTCACTATATCCGCTCTCCCCGGACCCCGCATTCACTATATCCGGTCTCCCCGGACCCTGCATTCACTATATCCGCTCTCCGGACCCTGCATTCACTATATCCGCTCTCCTCGGACCCTGCATTCACTATATCCGGTCTCCCCGGACCCTGCATTCACTATATCCGGTCTCCCCGGACCCGGCATTCACTATATCCGGTCTCCCCGGACCCGGCATTCACTATATCCGGTCTCCCCGGACCCGGCATTCACTATATCCGGTCTCTCCCCGGACCCGGCATTCACTATATCCGGTCTCCCCGGACCCGGCATTCACTATATCCGCTCTCCTCCCCGGACCCTGCATTCACTATATCCGCTCTCCCGGACCCTGCATTCACTATATCCGGTCTCCATGGACCCGGAATTCACTATATCCGGTCTCCCCGGACCCGGCATTCACTATATCCGGTCTCTCCCCGGACCCTGCATTCACTATATATCCGCTCTCCCCGGACCCTGCAATCACTATATCTGCTCTCCCCGGACCCTGCATTCACTATATCCGGTCTCCCGGACCCTGCATTCACTATATCCGCTCTCCCCGGACCCTGCATTTATTATATGCGCTCTCCCCGGACCCTGCATTTATTATATGCGCTCTCCCCGGACCCTGCATTTATTATATGCGCTCTCCCCGGACCCTGCATTCACTATATCGGTCTCCCAGGATCCGGCATTCACTATATCCGGTCTCCCCGGACCCGGCATTCACTATATCCGCTCTTCCGGGACCCGGCATTCACTGTATCCGCTCTCCCCGGACCCTGCATTCACTATATCCCTCTCCCCGGACCCTGCATTCACTATATCTGGTCTCCCCGGACCCTGCATTCACTATATCCGGTCTCCCCGGACCCGGCATTCACTATATCCGGTCTCCCCGGACCCGGCATTCACTATATCCGGTCTCCCCGGACCCTGCATTCACTATATCTGGTCTCCCCGGACCCTGCATTCACTATATCTGGTCTCCCCGGACCCTGCATTCACTATATCCGGTCTCCCCGGACCCGGCATTCACTATATCCGGTCTCCCCGGACCCGGCATTCACTATATATCCGGTCTCCCCGGACCCGGCATTCACTATATCCCGCTCTCCCGGACCTTGCATTCACTATACCCCCTCTCCCCAGACCCTGCATTCACTATACCCCCTCTCCCCAGACCCTGCATTCACAAGACCAGCATCCCTAACCATACTATTCAAAAAAACGTTATCATATCCCAGCTTGTCTTTGAAGTCCTTCCTGTCTTAGGCCTAGTCACAGTATTAAAGTCACCTCCAAAGACCACTTGCCGGGATGTAAAAAAAAATGGCTTGATCCTTGTAAAAAGGCATTTCCTGTCCCACTTTGTGTGCGCCCCATAAACATTAATTAGGCGTAGGTCCTGCCCTCCCACAAGGATATCTAAGACCATACATCTCCCAGTCTCCACCTCAATAACTCGCCGGATAGTTACCATTCCCATTTCAGATTCTGAACTACATTCAGAAGAAGTTCCTGATGAGGAAATATCTAAATTGGAAAAACGGTTGGAGACAGGCACTGGAGCTTCCCGTCCCTGTTCCGTCCCCACCATCCACCTCTTCAACCTCACATACTTCGCTCTCCCCTCTAGGTACTGCCAGTCAGACTCAGAGATGCTCTCATCTCTTGCTTTTTTTTTTTTTTTTTTTAAATTCTTCACAGAAGACTTCTTTTCAGAAGAGACAACAGCACAATTTTTGCCACCCTCCACCACTCTTGGTGGGGGGGACCTTCCTTCAAGTCAGACTTGAGAGGAGAAGACTCACAGGGGATAACTGACTCAGGGGGCACAGAATTGGAAGGTTCTGACACAAGGGGAGCAGGTACAGTAGGTTGGGGAGACACAGAGACAGGAACAGAAGGAATACTTACAGACACAGGAAGGGTGGCCAATGGAACTGGAAAGGGTTGCTGAACACAACCAAGGGAGTTAGTCACCGGAGAGGAGAATGTTACACCAGGGGCCTCACCCTCCATCCTGTCCAGCCTCAACAGCTCATCCATCACCTCTTTCTCCACATTGTGCCAAGCCTCAGGACATTGGCCGTAAGTGTGGCCAAGGCATAGGTACAGGTTGCACCTTATCTGGGTGCAGTCCTTGGCCACATGACCCTTACCCTGACACATTGAATATATCAAAAATGAACAGGAGGAGCTAAAGGGCCCTTTTTTTCTCCACACCGGTGACACAGTTTTGGCTGACCAGGATAGAAAATAGTCATCCTGTCCCACCCTATAAAAGTGGAGGAGGGCAGGTGATGAACAACATTCCCATCCCTGGCCAACCTGACTGTCACCGACCAACCCCCAGTCCAGATGTTGCATTCACCAAGAATTGTATCCGGTTTTGTCAAAACCTCCCCATAATGTCTCAACCAGACCTCTGGGTCCCAAGCAGGAACACTCTCATTACTGAGGATGATGGTTATTTTTTTCACTGTTGACCTCTGTGAGACATAAACTGGTGCCAGACCTTCCCATTCGAGTCTTGACCTGCTCTGAGCCTCATACCGTTCCCAAAAAAGGTCAAGACCCTCTAGCCTGGTGAAGCTTATGGTGTATTCCCGGCTCCCGGCTACATGAATGAGGGCATAGTGGTCATTTGCCCTGAATCCCATCCCCAAGATCAAATCGATCGCCACTCGCCTTGCTGGAGGGACTGCACCACCTTCCCATTTAAGTGACATTTCACCTTGGATCCCCGGCAGAGGCCAGAGACCCTAGACCCAACCCTGGGGTACTCTGGAGCCCCTCCCTCCTAGATTGTAAGCTCCAAGGAGCAGGCCCTCCTTTCTCTCTTGTATTGAACTGTATTGTCTCCCATTCTATTGTAAAGCGCTGAGCAAACTGTTGGTGCTATATAAATCCTGTATAATAATAATAATAATTCCTCCCACTGACCCCAACAACAGGGCACTATTCCTCCTACTGACACCAATGATGGAGCACTATTCCTCCCACTGACCTCAACAACAGGGCACTATTCCTCCATACAATGATGGGGATACTGACACCAATGATGGAGCACTATTCCTCCCTACTGACACCAATGATGGAGCACTATTCCTCCCACTGACACCAATGATGGGGCACTATTCCTCCCTACTGACCTTAACAACAGGGCACTATTCCTCCCACTGACACCAATGATGGGGCACTATTCCTCCTTCTGACACCAATGATGGGGCACTATTCCTCCCACTGATACCAATGATGGGATACTATTCCTCCCACTGATACCAATGATGGGGCACTATTCCTCCCACTGATACCAATGATGGGGCACTATTCCTCCCACTGATACCAATGATGGGATACTGATACCAATTCCTATTCCCACTGATACCAATGATGGGGCACTATTCTTCCTACTGACACCAATGATGGGGCACAAATCCTCCTACTGACACCAATGATGGAGCACTATTCCTCCCACTGACCTCAACAACAGGGCACTATTCCTCCAAATGATACCAATGATGGAGCACTATTCCTCCTTCTGACACCAATGATGGGGCACTATTCCTCCCACTGATACCAATGATGGGATACTATTCCTCCCACTGATACCAATGATGGGGCACTATTCCTCCTTCTGACACCAATGATGGGACACTATTCCTCCCACTGATACCAATGATGGGACACTATTCCTCCCACTGATACCAATGATGGAGCACTATTCCTCCTTCTGACACCAATGATGGGACACTATTCCTCCCACTGATACCAATGATGGGACACTATTCCTCCCACTGATACCAATGATGGGGCACTATTCCTCCTTCTGACACCAATGATGGGACACTATTCCTCCCACTGACATCAATGATGGGACACTATTCCTCCCACTGATACCAATGATGGGGCACTATTCTTCCTACTGACACCAATGATGGGGCCTTATTCCTCCTACTGACACCAATGATGGGGCACTATTCTTCCCACTGATACCAATGATGGGACACTATTCCTCCCACTGATACCAATGATGGGCACTATTCCTCCAACTGATACCAATGATGGAGCACTATTCCTCCCACTGACACCAATGATGGGGCACTATTCCTCCCACTGATACCAATGATGGGATACATTCCTCCCACTGATACCAATGATGGGACACTATTCCTCCCACTGACACCAATGATGGGGCACTATTCCCCCCACAATGATAACATTCCTCCCACTGATGATGGGGACACTATTCTCCTATTGACACAATGATGGGGCCTTATTCCTCAACAACAGGGCACTATTCTTCCTACCTGACACCAATGATGGAGC